TGGTTGTGTGTGCGAGCCTGTGAACGTGTGTGTGTGCATGTGAACATGTGTGTGAGTATGTGAGCATGTGTGTCATGTGAACGTGTGTGTCATATGAACATGTGTGTGTGCACCATGTGAACATGTGTGTGTGCACATGTAAATGTGTGTATGCATGTAAATGTGTGTGTGCCTGTGAACACGTGCGTCATGTGAACACGTGTGTGCCTGTAAACGTGTGCGTGTCTATAAACAGGTTGTGTGCATGCAAACACGTGTGTGTGTACGTGTGAACAGGTGCGTGCATGCATGCAAACAGGAGTGCATGCATGTAAAGAGGCGCATGTGCCTGTGAACAGGTGTGTGTAAATGTGAATGTATGTGTGTGCATGCAAACACGTTTGTGCATATACACGTGAACGTGTGTGTGTGCCTGTACATGGGTGTGCACACATGTAAACGTGTGTGTGTGTGCATGTAAACATGTGTGTGTTTGCCTGTACATGGGTCTGCACACATGTAAACATGTCTCTATGTGTGCCTGTACACGGGTGTCACCCGCAGGCTCGGTGGAGACGCCCCAGGCCGGTGACAGCCCGGGTTTGTGGCTGCCCGGGCGGGTGCCATGGCGGGGGGTGCGGGGCTGGCCAAGCGCCTGGGCACCTTCGTGTCGGGGCTGCTGGAGTGCGGCGCCTTCTGCGGCATCATCTTCGGCTGGGCCTCCCTCGTCTTCGTCCTTAAGGAACGGGGCTACTTCCGGTGGCTGTGCCAGCCCTCCCCCACCAACCACACCGAGGGGCTTGGTACGGAACCCTGCCTGTCCCTGTCCTCGTGTCCCCACTGTCCTGATGCCCTTATGTGCCCTGTGTGCCCGCTGTCCCTTTGCCCAAGTCTCTGCTGTCCCCATGCTCACGTCTTTGCTGTCCCTAGTGTCCTGATGCCCTGCAATATCCTGTGTCCCCACTGTCTCCATGCCCATGTCCCTACTAGACCCCAGCCGTGTCTCCAGTATCCTCATGTCCCTGGTGTCCCCACATCCCCAGTGTTTCCCTGTGTTCCTGCTGTCCGGTGTTCCTGTGCCCGCAGGTCACTGCATCCCCTCATCCCTGGTGCCCCCGGTGTCCCCACACCCATGTCCCTGTGTCCCCATGTCCCCGTGTCCCCATGTCCCCGTGTCCCCATGTCCCCACGCCCCACTGACCGTCATCCCCAGACTGCAGTGCGCAGGATGAGCAGTTCTCCCTGGTCTTCACCATCGGCTCCTTCATGAACAACTTAATGACCTTCCCCATGGGCGTCGTCTTCGACCGCTTTGGCACCCTGGCCGCTCGCCTCATCGCCATGTGAGCCCTGCACGGGGGGGAAACGGGGGGTTGGTGAGAGATGGGGGGTATCCAGGTATCCAGGTAGGATGGGGCAGGAAGGTCCTGACGGCATGAGGGGCACCCATGGGGCTGGGGTCACCTGTGTTCCCCAGGACCCCATCCCCATGTGTCACTGCTTTCCCCTCAGCTCCCTCTACGCCGGTGGGACCCTGCTCGTCGCCTTCTCCACCCCAGGTGAGACCCTGTGGGCAGGGGGACCCCAGCCCTGTGGGGGACCTGTTGGGGACCCCCACTGTCCCTGCTGACCCCTGTGTCCCCAGAGCTGGCAGTGCTGCTCTTCCCGGCCATGTCCATGCTGTCGGTGGGCGGCATGCTCCTCATCCTCACCAACATGCAGGTGGGTTCCCCCGGCACCCCGACTCCCACCCAGCGGCAGGGGCAACCTGCCCACCACGGGGAGACCCTGACGGCTTGGGGGGTTGTATCTCGGTGCCAGGTGGGCAACCTGTTTGGGAAGTACCGCTCCATCATCATCACCCTCTACAATGGGGCCTTCGACTCCTCCTCCGCCATCTTCCTCATCGTCAAGGTGGGCGCAGGGCGGGGGGATGTGGTGGTGGCGGGCGAGGGTGCAGGGTGCCCCCAGGGGAGGACAGAGCTGGGGACGATTAGGTGACATCTGGGGACATACTGGGGACACAGCTGGGGACGTACGGGGGACAGAGTTGGGTCACAGTTGTGGAAATACTGGGGACGCAGTCTGGGACACAGTTGATCCACTGCTGGGGCCATATGTGGGGACAGACCCAGGGCCTGAGCAGGTGGCCATGGTGGCCAGTGGCAGCCTGTCCCTGACTCCGTCCCTGTCCCTGTCTCCAGCTGCTGTACGCACAGGGGCTGTCCCTGCAAGCCATGTTCCTCTTCCTGGCAGCCTGCAGCGCCTGGCACCTGCTGCGCACCCTCTTCCTGATGCCACGCACCCGCGTCCCCTACCCGCTGCCCCCTGGCTACGACTACGGGTACGAGGGGGGGCTGCTGACAGTGCCCTGCTGGGGGGTGGGTCCCACCCCGCGGGCAGCAGGTGACACAGGCACTGCCACAGGCTGCAATGCCCGGGGCGCTCCCGCTCCTACCGCACCTACGAGGAGAAGAGGCCCCCGGAGGAGAACGGCCCCGAGGAGACCCCCCTGGAGCTCCCCGTTGTTCCTCGAGGTGCCGGGAGTGGGGATATGGTCTTGAGGAGGCGGGGCTTGTCTTGGGGGCGGGGCTTATAGTGGGGAGGGGTTTGACCCAATGGGCGTGGTTGCGGGGTGGGTGGGGTCTGTTATGCAGATGAAGGGGTGTGGTCTGTGGTGGGTGTGGTTGGAGGATACATTAATAAGGAGGTGAAGGGGTGGAGCCTGGGAGTGGGTGTGGTGACTGGGGGCGTGGACAGACGGTGGGCGTGGCAATACAGGTGAAGGGGTGTGGTCACACAGGTGGATTGGAGGGGGTTCCAGCGGGTGGGAGGGACAAGGTGCCTCAGCAGGCGGGTGGGGCCGGGAGGGGCGTGTTCCTGCGTGCCCTGCCCTGATACCTGTGCAGGTGAAGCCCCCCCCGGGATGACGTTCCGGGCCTGCGCGTGCTCGTGGCTCTTCGCCTGGCACGTGGCCTGGCTCTCCGTCATGCAGCTGCGCCACTACCTGTTCATCGGCACCCTCAACCCGCTGCTCGAGCACCTGTCACACGGGGACCCCAATGCGGGTACGGCACCGCAGGGCACGGGGGGCATGGCGGGCACCCCCGGGGCTGGCCCCCGCCTGACGCTGTTCTACCCCCGCAGTGAGCACCTACACCAACGCCTTTGCCTTCACCCAGCTCTGCGGGGTGCTCTGTGCCCCCTGGAACGGCCTCATCCTCGACTGGCACAAGCGGGGCAAGCGCCACCGCCCCAAGGGTAACTGTCCTTGCTGCCCTGCTCTGAGGGGAACCGAGCCCCCAGACCCCCCACCCCCAGTGTAACCACCCCTTCTGGCCCCCCACCCCGGGGGTAATCACCCCTCCAGCCCTGGGGGCGGTCTCTGTCCTCCCATGCCCTCATCTGGGCGGGTGACCGTGTGCCACCACTGCCGTGCCTGAGCCCCGCGGCACTCGGGGAGGGGGCCGTGTCCCCGTGGCCTGACCCCCGTGGCCTGACCCCCGTGCCCGCAGGTGCCCGGGGCGCGCTGGCGGACCTGCGGGCCGCGGTGGTGTCGCTGGTGGTGACGGTGGTGCAGTGCGTGCTGTTCTCCGTGTGCGCTGCCGTGCCTGTCCTGCAGGTCCAGTTCGCCACCTTCGTCCTGCAGGTGATCAGCCGCTCCTTCCTGTACGGTGGCAACGCCGCCTTCCTGGCCATCGCGTGAGTGCCAGGGCATGGCCACAGGGACGGGCTGGGGGTGGCAGGGTAGCAGGGGACGGTGTCAGGGTCATCGTGAGGGTGGCAGGGGACAGGGCGGTAGGGTTGGTGCAGGGGCGGCACGGGATGGTGATGGCGCTTGGAGTGCCAGGGGACAGGACGGTGGTGGCAGGGGAGGGAGTGGTGGTGTCAGGGCAGGGGTGGCAGGGGAGGGCGTTGGGGCCGGAGGGGGGGGGGGGGGCCAGGGGGGGGGGGACGGAGGGTGCGGGCGGGGGGGGGGAGGGGCAGGGGACGTGGTGGTGGTGGCAGGGGTGGTGGCGGCAGGGGTGGTGGCACAGTTGGGGGTGTCAGAGGACAGGGTATCGCGGTGGCAGTGCCAAAGAACAGCGTGTCAGATTGGGGTTGTCAGTGGTCAGGGTGTCGGGAGGGTGCTGGGCAGGGTGCCAGGGGCAGGGTGTCGGGGGGTGCCTGGCAGTGACGGGGGTGCCTGGCAGGTTCCCCCCGCAGCACTTTGGGAAGCTGTACGGGCTGGCCATGGCACTGTCGGCACTGGTGGCCCTCCTGCAGTACCCCTGTGTCGCCCTGGTGCAGGGGCCGCTCCAAGGGGACCCCTTCTATGTGAGTGCACCCCAAGGCCCCTCCCCGATGGGTGGGGGGGCTGCTCCATCGGGAATGGGGTGGCTGTTCCACAGGGGAATGGGGGTCCTGCTCTGGGGAGGGATGGGAGTCCTGATCCTGAGGGAATGGGGGTCCTGCCCAGAGAGGGATCGGGGTGCTGTCCCACAGTAAGGTGGGACTCCTGCCCCATGGGAAAATGGAGGTCCAGTCCTGGGAGGGATGGGAGTCCTGCCCCACACTAGGGTGGGGGTCGTGCCCTGGGAAATGGGGGTCCTGACCTAGCACAGGGGACTGGGGTGGCCATGGGGCTGGCCCAGGGGCCCCCTCTGGGTGGGGTCAGCCCCTCAACCCCCTTCCCGGATGCTCCCCCCTCCTCAGGTGAACGTGGGGCTCATCGCCGTGGTGCTGTTGGCCTTCGTCAGCCCCGTGGTGGTGGCCCGCGAGTGCCGGCGGCGAGCCAAGGAGCTGGAGGCAGCTGGCACGCCCCTCACAGCCCCCCCTGCCGCCGAGACCGCCGCCGAGATGCCTCGCTGAGCCCCGCACCCGCCAGGAACCCGGCACCCAGCACCCCATTTTTGTACTGGCCTGGGGGTGCTGTGCCGGTGGGATGGGGGGTTTGGGGGTAATAAACGTCGCTGCCCCCTCCACCCGCTGTGCTGCTCCCTCAGCCCCCTCCCCAGGCCCCCTGTGCACACAGACACGGCTCAGAGCACCTCTGCTTTACTGGGAAGGGAACTGGGGGACCGTGGCAGCACTGGGAGATCAGTACTGGCAGATGAAGGGGCGCAGCTGGAAGCAGGGGCGGCTGCGCCAGAGCCCGTCTGGGGACAGGGACAGTGGTCAGGGCCATGGGGTGGACCCCAGGGCCCCTCTGTAACCCTCCCAGTGGCCCCCAGTGCCCTGTAACCCCTTCTAATGCCCCGTAACCCATCCCAGTGCCCCCATGCCCTCCAAGTGCTCCCAGTACCCTGCAGCTCACTCCCAGTGCTCCCCCAGTGCTCCAAGTAACCCTGAACCCCCTCCCATTGCTCCCAGTAGCCCTGTGCACCCTCCCAGTGCCCCCCCAGTGCCCCAAGTAGCCCTGAACCCCCTCCCATTGCTCCCAGTAGCCCTGTGCCCCCTCCCAGTGCCCCTGCAGTGCCCCAAGTAGCCCCAAACCCCCTCCCATTGCCTCCAGTAGCCCTGTGCCCCCTCCCAGTGCCCTCCCCATTGCCTCCAGTGGCCCTGTGCCCCTTCCCAGTGGCTCCCCCACTGTCCCCAGTAGCCCCATGTCCCCCGAGCCCGGGTGCCCGGCGTGGTGAGTGGGGAGGTGTGGATGCCCTCACCTCGGGTGCTGAGGGTGGTGCAGGTGGTGACAATATGGTGGGGAAAGGTGGGTCCCCAGTTGGCATAGTTCCAGGGGCTGGAGTCCTCCCAGCATGACGCCCACTTCCCGTCCTGCCGCGGCGACATCTCAGCCCCCAGTGACAGCCCCCAGCGACAGCCCCCAGTGACAGCCCCCAGCATCCCACACCCAGCCCCTCGCCCCCCAAAACCAGCCCCAGCACCCCTACCCAGCTCCTCACCCCTCAAGACCCGGTCCCCATCCTGAGCATCCCATATCCCGGTTCATCTCCCAAAAACCAAGCCCAGCACCCAGCACCTAGTACCCAGCACCCCCCCAGCCAGCCCCAGCACCCCTACCTAGCCCCTCACCTCCAAAAAGCAGCCCCAGCACTCCACACCCAGCCCCTTGTCCCCCCAGACCGGTGCCAGCTGCCCCTGCCAGCCCAGGCGCCCCCCCGCCGCCCCCTCACCTTGCGGCTGGTGACGGCCCCGATCCAGACGGCGAGGCAGGTGTAGGTGCGGGCCAGTTTCTGCAGCTCCTGGTTGCGGGAGGCGCTGTGCACGGAGGCCAGATGGCCCCGGTACACATCCCGGCAGTACCTCTGCGGGACGGGAACAGCCTGGCACCGGGCACCCAACCGCACCTCTGCACCCCCGCACACACCTCCCACCGGCACCTCCGGCAGTGCCGCCGTGGGATGGCCATGGCCTGGCACCCTGGGACCCCCCGGTACCCCCCGGCACCCAGCCGTGCCCCACGTCCCCTCACCTGGGCACGCGAGTAGGTGCGCAGCTGCTTCACCACCGCGTAGTGGGGCTGCGGGGTGGCCTCGGCCGCGGGCACCTCCTGGGGCTGGCGGGGGGCTGGAGGACAGGGCTGTGAGGGTTGGCACCGGGGTCCCTCTGCCGCCTGCTGCCAGCCCTGGGCACGCGGTGCTGGCGAGGTGGGCATGGCAGTGAGGTGGCGGGGACTGAGGGTGTCCCCAGCATGTCCCCGTGGGCAGGCGGGGCTGTGGGGGGCACTCACAGGGGCAGGGGGACACTCACTGGAGTGGCTGGTGGGCACAGTGCCCAGCAGGGCCAGGGCGAGCAGCAGGCAGGGCCACATGGTGGGGTGACACGCCGGGACACCACCAGCACCCTTGGGAGATACCACAGCCCTGTCATCCTCTGCCACCCTGGGGACACCCCCACGGTCCAGAGCCCCTCTTGGTGCCCCTCTTGGTGACAACCCATCCTCCACACGTCTGCTCTGCAACCGCCCATGTCCCCACTGAACCTCTGCCACACCCAGTGCCAACCCATGACCCTCACCCCATTCTGCCTCTCTGTCCCCCACACCCCTCCGCCATCCCCTGTGCCACCCCCATCTCCCCCTGGCACCCCAGAGCCCCCCGTGCCAGCCTCAGGGACGTCCACCCCTATCCCCAGCCCCAGCAGCCGTGGGCTGAGCCCTCCCCACGCTCCCGTCCCCGCTCCTCACCTGGGGGCTGGGGGGATCTGCCCGCTGTCCCCTTTATAAGGGTGACGGGGCCATATGTTCCCACCACAGCCTTGCGCCACCCCAGCCTGGACTTGGGGGCACTGGGGGGACACCGGGGGGCACTGGGGGGACACCAGGGGTGGGGGCTGCTCGAGCCCGAGGGGTGGGTGTGGGGGTGTGGGGCACAGCGTGTCCCAGGGGTGGGGTGCTGGGGGTGCAGAGGGATGCTGAGGGGATGTTGGGGTGCTGATACCATCTCCCGCCAGCCGTGCTTGCCCAAGGGCCATTTCCTCCCCAACGGCTGTGGCCCCCCAAGTCCAGCCCGGCCGTTTGCCCACGGCCCCCCCCCAGCTCCCCCAGGCCCCCCCTTCCCCCGACTGGCCCCCCTGGCCAGCAGCTCAGCACCCACAGCTCCCCCGGCGCTCTGCACCCCCTCCTCTGCACCCTAAATCCCCATCCTCACCCCCACGCTCTTGCACCCCCTTCCCCAGCAGACCCCTGTGCCCCTGCACCCCAAACTCCCCGAGATCTTGTACTGAGACCATGCACCCCAAACTCCCAGCACCCCCTCTCTAAGCCCCCTGCACCCCAAGCCCCCACAGCCCTCATCCCTGTGCCCCTGCACCCCAAACTCTCAGAGCCCCTTCCCCATGCCCCTGCACCCCAAACCCTAAAAGCCCCCTGTGCCCCTGCACCCCAAACCCCCACAGCCCCCTCCCCGTGGCCCTGCACCCCAAATTCCCAGAGTCTCTGTGCTGAGCCCCTGCACTCCAAACTCCTTCAGTGCCCTCCCTGAGCCCCCTGCACCCCCCTTCCCCAGACCAAGCACACCCTGAGCACTGGCCAGGCGGGGTGTGGGCAGAACCCCCCCCGGGTGTCACCCCCATGCCCCCCCGAGCACATCCCCAGCAGTTGGTGGTTGGGAGTGTCACAAGGCTGCGGTTGGGGACATGTGTCCCTCTCACCAATATAAGGGTGGCAGTGGGCAGAGCCCCCCAGGACGCAGGTGAGGAGCATGCACGGGGATATTGGGTTGTGCTCATTCCCTGGCTGCCAGGGTTGGGGGGTCCTGGAGGCTGGCACGGGGGTCTCTAGGGTGCCAGGGGACATGACGGGGGACTGAGAGGCACAGGGTGCCCAGGGGATGGGGCGACCATGGGGTTGGAAGTGAGGAACTGGTGACATGGTGGGCACAGGAGGGCTGGGATCGGTGGGGGTGACACTGGAGGTGACAGAGGGGATGAGGCACGGGGTGGCACTGGGGATGGCGGAGGGACATGGGGATATGGGAGGGTTTTAGAGGGGATATGGGGAAGACCGAGTGACGCTGTGGGTGGCAAAGGAATGCTGGGGATGGCACAGGAGACGTGGGGAGGATGGGATGACGCTGGGGGTGGCAGAAGGGCCATGGGGCTGTCCCCAGGGTGGTCGAGGCTGACAGGGCTGTGATATCTCCTGAGGGTGCTGGTGGTGTCCCCAGAGTCCCTGCGTGTCCCTTCACCATGTGGTCCCACCTGCTGCTCGCCCTGGCCCTGCTGGGCACTGTCCCCCCCAGCTGTTCCAGTGAGTGACCCCCACACCCCCACTTGCCCGTGGAGACATCCTGGGGACAAATCCGACCCTGGGATGACACTGCTGGTGCCCCTAGGCCCTGCCAGCCCCATGGCAGAGGAGACGGAGGAGGTGACGGGGCTGGAGGTGCTTGAGGAGGCTGTTGGGGCCAGCGACACACAGACACTCAGTGTCCCCAGCGCGCCGGGCGCCAGCACCCCCACCTACATCATGGTCCCCTGGCTCCGGACCTTCCAGGAAGCACAGGTGGGATGGAGTGGGTTGGGTGGGGGGTCAGGGTGGGGGGCTCTGGTCCCCCCTGTGACAGCCACATCCCTGCAGAGTTTCTGTTCCTGGAGATACCGTGGGAAATTGGCCTCGGTCCACAGTGCCAGAACCAACGCCTTCCTGCTGCGCCTGGTGCACCGGCTCAGCAACGCAGCCCTGGTCTGGATCGGTGCCGTCAGCGACCCCGCCGTAAGGACCCCCGCACCACGCCCACCACCCCGGCCTTGGGGCACCCTGCCCCGTCCCAGTGTCCCCACTGCCCACCCTGGGTGTCCCAGCCCCATTCCCAGTGTCCTCAGTGCCCACCGCGAAAGCCCCAACCCCACCCCAGAGTCCCTGGTACCCACTCTGGATGCTCCGGCCCTGTCCCAGTATCCCTAGTGCTCACCTTGTATGTCCCATTCCCATTCCATTATCCCCGGTGCCTATCCCGGGCATCCCGCTGCCAATCCTGGAAGTCCCATTCCCATCCTACTGTCCCCAGTATCCACCCCGGGTGCCCAGCCTGCCCTCCACCCCCCGGGCACCCCACGCCCGGTGCCGGGGGTCCACATGCCCTTCTACCTGGCAGAATCGGAGACCGCGCTGCCACTGGACCGACCGGAGCCCCTGGGACTTCAGCCACTGGTTGCCCGGGCACCCCCTGCCTGGCCGCCACTTCTGCACTGGCCTCTGCGTCAACAGTCAGTGGGGGCTCCAGGGGGGCTTCGGGGGGCCGCAGGGGACCCCCTGCCCATGGTGGGGTTGGAGGGGAGGGTGCTGGGGCACCTCGGGCTGGGGAGTGACACCGGGGCGCTGGGGTCTAGTGTGGGGTGGCTGGGGGGTCTGTCACTGCGGGGGGCTGGCATTTAGGGGTCAGTGGGTGATCCCTGGGGCTGAGGGGGTCCCTGGGGGTGGGAGTGCTGGTGGGTGCCAGGCTGACCCCCCCTCTCTCCCCAGATGCACGCTGGAGGAGTGTGAGATGCAAGAGGCGGCTGCCCTTCATCTGTGAGATATGAGGGTCTCAGCCCCCCAGGCCCTCCCCGGCCCGCCCTGCTGCCGATCCCCCCGCGGGGAGCTACACCCCCTCTCTCGGAGCTCAATAAAGCCTTGGTGTCAGCACTCACCTGGTGTTTGGGGAGGGGTTTGGGGGGCTGGGCGCCTGGATGGGTGTTGGGAGCAACCAGGGGTGGAAGGGGGCGGTTTGGGGGTGTCCCTTGTTTCCTGCATGGCCCCTGGGTGAGCAATGGGGGGGACAGGGTCCCCTCCCCAGGGGCAGGACTCTGACCCCGCCTCTGCTCCCACACCCCAACCCTGCCTGTCAGCCCCCCCATAACCAAGGCTGGACATGGGTGGGTGCTGCGAGCCACGGGTTTATTGTATGGGGCTGCAGCCCCCCGGCATGGGGCCGGCGGTGAGCAGGGAGGTGCCAGAGGAGGGCACACGGGGGCACCATGGGGGCAAGGGACAGGGCACTGGGGACACTGGAATTGGGACTGGGCATGCAGGGTGGGCACTGGGGACAGTGGGATGGGGATGGGGCTCAGTGTGGAGACTGGGAGGGCAGTAGGAGCCCGACAGGGGTCCCAGCAAGCCCCTCACCCAGCCGTGGGCTTCCCCTCAGTGGGGGGCTGCCCCATGGCACCAGGGCTAGAGGCCGAGGGAGAAGGTGCCCGAGTCGGTGGACTGCTTGTCCCGGGTGCAGCCCCCCAGTGCCCCTGGGGGACACGTCGTGGGGGTGGCGGGGGTCGCGGGCGCGCCAGCCTCTGGCACCTGTGGGGCCGGGGCCGGGCACTGGGTTAGTCACTGCCCCACAGCCAGGGCACCCGGGGGGCTCAGGGGCACTGCTTGCACGTCCCCCACTATCCAGCCCTACACAGCCTCAGGCAGGGCGGATCGAGCCCCCCGGAGGTGACCCCATCCCCGCAGCACCCCGGCCCCACGTCTGACCTCCTCGAACTTGCGGGCCTTGTAGTGCTCGGCGCCCTTCAGGAAGTTGAGCAGGATGATGTCGCACAGCACCGTGCCCTGGGGGCAGCGTCGTTGGGGTGGGGGGCCCTGCGCTATGGGGCACCCCCTGACCACCCCCCAGTCCCCCACTGTCGCCCCGGGGCTGTGCCGTGTTCCCATGGCTACGGGGAGGTGCCACCACGCCAGGTGCTGAGAACGGCCACAACTCACCACACCGATGGAGGTGAAAGCTGCCACTGTGTTGATGAGGGTGGGGACGATGCCGAACTTCCCGGCCTGGGGGGTGCAGAGCCCCTGTCGGTGGAAGCCCCCAACCCTGCCCCAGACCCATGAGCCCCCGGCCCCACACGTACACTGCCATACACCAGGACATCGAAGCGGATGCCAAAGGCCTTGGTGAGGGTGCGGCGCTCGGAGCCGTCAGGCCAGCGGTAGTACCTGGCGTGCCTGTGGGGGCGTGGGGACACGGGGACACAGGGACAGGGGCACACGGGGCCGTGCCAGGCAGCGCACGCCCCTGTGCCATGTGTGTCGCGGTGGTGGCACGGCCGTACCTGAAGTTGTAGCCAGGGGCAGGAGTCCGGGCCAGGCTGTCCAGGCGGGTGAAGGAGTAGTGGGGTAGGCAGCGCTCCCAGGCCCGGTCCAGGTCACACACCCACCCGATCTTGATCCCCAGCACCCCCCCCCTGCCCCGGCCCCACATCAGCAACATGGCACCACAGACCTCTGTTCCCATATCCTCTTGTTTCCACAGCCTCACAGCCCCCACGTTCCCATGGCCTCATGCTCCATGTCCCACGTACCCACATCCCTGAGTCCCCAAGTCTCACATTCCCATGTCTATACACCCCATGTCACCACATCCCACACCCCAAACCCCATGTGCCCATGTCCATGTGCCTGTGTCCCCATATTCCTCTGACCCCCATCACCACACCGCCAAGTCCCACATCACTACGTGTCCTGTGCTCCTGTATCCCCATGTCCTGTTCCCAACACCGCGCATCCCTGCATCTTGTGTCCCTATGTCATGCTTCCCTATGTCCACGTGGCCCCCCATCCCATATTCCCCCCATCCTGTGTCTCACATCCCCACATCCCACATCCCTGCATCCCCACGTCCCGAGTCTTTGTGTCACCAAGTCCCACGTCCCCATGCCCTCACATCCCACCCACCTGTGCCCCCATGTCCCCACACTCTCCCTTTTCCCCCCCGTGCCCCCCGTGCCCCCCGTGCCCCCGCTCACGGTGGCAGCCAGCGCAGGGAAGTCCTGCCCGGCCAGGCGCGCCACGTCCCCCAGGCGCAGGATGGGGCACAGGGGCTGCAGCTGCGGGTGGAAGCGGCACTGGCCCAGCTCCACCCCGCTGCCAGGGGGCGGCAGGTTGGTCCTGGGGACACGAGGGGACACGGGGGGACATGGAGGGATGTGCCTGTCCCTGTGTCTCCATGCCCTGTGTCCCCTGTTGCCATGTCCCCCCCCATGTCCCCCCCGGGCTGCTCACTTCTCAAAGCCGAAGAGCGGGAAGCGGATGCTGTTCTTGATAAGGAGGGTGAAGTTCTCGGCCTCCAGCATGATGGGGCTGGGGGAAAAGGGGTGACCCTGGGGACATGGTGGTGGGGCATGGCCCCCTCTCCTCCCTGTGTCTCCTCGTGTGCCCCCGGCCCCACTCACACGTCAACGGTGTCCACCTCGGGCGGGCACCAGCCCTGGATCTCACAGGTGCTCAGGGTCGTGTTGTAGGAGACACAGCGCCCCGTCAGCATCCCTGGGACCCCAGACCCACGTCAGCACCCCTGTGACCCCCCAACCCCTGCCAGCAAGCCTGGGACCCCTGGACCCTTGTCAGCGCCCCTGAGACACCAGATCCGTGTCAGTACTCCCAGGAGCACCTCTGGGAACCCAGATCCCTGTCAGCACTCCTGGGACCCTGAACCTTTTGTTCCTCCAGACTCCCAGTTCCCTCATCAGCACCCTGGCACCCACAGCCCCCTCAGCCCCCATGAGGGTCCCTCAGCACTGCCTGTGGTGGGGCTCAGCCTCTAGCCTCCCCCTGGCCCCCTCAGCCCCCTGTTCCCGCCTCGGCCCTCATGGGGGTCCTTCACCGGCCCTCACAGGGATCCCTCACCGTTGCTCATACTTGGACTCAGCCCCTGGCCCCCCCTCATTCTCCTGGCCCCCTCAGCACACCCGTTCCCCCCTCAGCAGCCCCAAGGGTCCCTCACCACTGCCCATGGTGGGGCTCAGCCTCTGGTCCCTCACGGCACCCTCAGCCCCCAGTTCCCGCTGCGGTCCCTCACCGTTGCTCGTACCCAGACTCAGCCCCCCATTCCTGCCTCTGCCCTCACAGGGGTCCCTCACCGGCCCTCACGGAGGTCCCTCACCGTTGCTTGTACACCGACTCAGCCCCCCATCCCTGCCTCAGCTCTCACGGGGGTCCCTCACCATAGCTCGTATCCAGACTCAGCCATCAGCCAGCTCTGGTTCCCCCGGCCCCGTCAGCCCCCGTGAGGGTCCCTCACCACTGCCCGTGGCGGGTCTCAGTCTCCGGCCCCACCCCGGACCCCTCAGCCCCCCATTCCCACCCTCACTGTTGCCCGTACCCAGACTCAGCCCCCCGTTCCCCCTCATCCCTCACGGGGGTCCCTCACCATTGCTCGTACCCGAACTCAGTCCCTGGCCCCCCCCGGGTCCCCCTGGCCCCCCCAGCCGTGCCCGTTCCCCTCCTCAGCCCCCCCGGGGGTCCCTCACCGTTGCTCGTGGCCGGGCTCAGCCCGCGGCAGTCCCGGTCGGCCGAGCAGCGGAACGCGGCTTCACTCTGCGGGGCGGGGGTCAGCGGGCGGGGGGTTCGTCGAGGGGGGTCCCCCCCGCGCCCCCCCCCCTGCCCGCCCCGCACCTCCGGGCACACGCCCTGCGCCTGGTCCTCGGTCCGGATCTGCTTGGTGACCACCACGAACACCGAGGTGCCCTGGGGGACGCCGCCGTCACCCGACCCGCGCCAGGGTGTGGCCCGCGCCCCTCGGCGGCCCCTCGCCCTCACCTGAGGGGGGGTGACATAGTCGGCCGTGTCCAGCACCTGCCCCGCGTAGCGCCCCACGCCCTTCACCTTGGTGACCACGGAGGACTCGATGGCGGTGTCCCGCACCTGGTACGCTTTCTCGTGGAGGAACACCCAGCTGGGACGGCACCGCGGGTGACGCCGGGGACAGCCACCCCCGACCACCGCCCGGCACCCGCCTGCGACGCCCAGGACCTCCCGGAGCTGCCAGTACCGGCGGTCTCTGCCTCTTGTCACCCCCCCCGCCGGTGGCCGCTGTCACCCCCTAGGAGCACCCGGGGACAGGGACCCCCCCTCTGTCAACCCCCGCTGCTGCTCTGCCCCTCGGTGTCACCCGCACTGTCCCCTTCCCCGTCGCCCGCCCGAGGTGTCGTCCTGGCTGTCCCCCTTGTGTCACTCGTGCCGACACCCTCCGCTTGCTGTCCCCATCATGTCACCCGCGCTGCCACCCTCCTGTCACCCGCACCGGCACGCTGTCCCGGCTGTCACCACGGTGTCACCCCACCGGCACACTCTCCCGGCTGTCCCCCTTGTGTCACCCCAGCGGCACACCTGAATTCCCGGCACTGACACACTTGTCACCCTCTCTCCCGTCCCTCCTCCGCCCTCTCACCCGCCGCTCCCGGCCCGGCCACCTCCTCAGCCCGCACCCCTCGCTGCCAACCCCCCATCGCCCTCGTCACCCCCGGGTGTCACCCGCAGCAGCAAGTGGCTGTCACACCCCGCGGAGCCGGGAAGGGGGTCCTGGGGGGGGGGAAGTCTCGGGAAAAGGGGTCCCGGGGGATGTTCCGGGGGGATGTCCCGGAAGTGCCGGGGGGGGCTCACCCGACGAAGTAGGCGAGGATGAGGAGCTGGACGCCGCGGTTGACGGCGCCCACCACCCAGCTCTTCACCACCACCGACTTGGTGGTCTCGTACGAGAAGAAGTCGCTCACCCAGCGGGTGCGGGGGCCCGGGGGGGACATGGGCGGCGCGGGGTGGGAG